GAAAAGGTTATTATAATGTTAAACATTTGTATTAGGCCTACTAGGAATACCACAATTACACTATGATTACTACAAAAAGCTGGTATATTGTTTTCAGTGTCAGTTGTTTTTGAATATTCTCTGAATTCTGTTTTTCTAGTACTTTTGTGTTTGTTTTAGGGTTTTCAGGGTTTTAGGAATGAACTGATATTGACATTTTTAGCATCTGAAAAACCTTGATAGAAAATAATTGCATTTATTATGGCCAAAACCAGTTTTATGGTAGATTATGGTCTAGATTTTTTTTTCATGCTTTAAGATTTTCAATGAATTAATTAATTAAAACAAGTCTCTTCTGTTCACCAAGGCTGCATTTATTTGATCAAAAACACTGTAAAAACAGAAATATTATCACAATTTAAAAAAACTGTTTTCTATTGCAATATATTGTAAAATGTAATTTATTTCTGTGATCAAAGCTGAATTTTCAGCATCATTACTCCAGTCTTCAATGTCACATGATCCTTCAGAAATCATTCTAATATGTTGATTTGCTGCTCAAGAAACATTTCTGATTATTATCAATGTTAAAAACAGTTGTGTTGCTCAATATTTATTCAGGATTTTTTAGTCCTTTGCAAAAAAATAAATGTCTTTATTGTCACTTTTGATCAATTTAATGCATATTTGCTGAAACGCCCCAGCCACAATATTCGGGTACCTGATTCTCATGTAAACGCTTAACATTCCTCCGTAGCTGAAAAATAAAACACATAATAACATACATTACTGGTTAAAAGTTTGGAATAATTAAGTTTTTTTGGTTTAATGTTGTTCTTTTTCTCATCAAGGCTGCATTTATTTGATCAAAAACACTGTAAAAACAGAAATATTATCACAATTTAAAATAACTGTTTTCTATTGCAATATATTTTAAAATGTAATTTATTTCTGTGATCAAAGCTGAATTTTCAGCATCATTACTCCAGTCTTCAGTGTCACATGATCCTTCAGAAATCATTCTAATATGTTGATTTGCTGCTCAAGAAACATTTCTGATTAATATCAATGTTGAAAACAGTTGTGTTGCTCAATATTTATTCAGGATTTTTTAGTCATTTGCAAAAAAATAAATGTCTTTATTGTCACTTTTGATCAATTTAATGCATCCTTGCTGAATAAAAGTAAAAAAAATAATTAAAAAAACACATTTGGAACGGTAGTTTCTGATAGAAAATGAGCTGTTTAGACTTTGCTGCTTGGAAAAAATAAGTCCTGATATGATATAATGTAGAATATAATCACAGATATAATGCATCGCTATAATAATCATAAGATATTTTTTTAATTTCAGCCCAGCACATAATCCCTCCTATCTCATATCCGTCTCTGAAGTTCTACGCTGTGGCGTTCCGACCCCTTTATCAGTCACCATTCTGGCAGATTATCCCATCAAAGTCACGGCTGAACTCGTCCATGGAAAAAGCAGTGTGGCCCAAGCAGAGAGCACCATCCCAGCAGGTAAATCACCATCATTTGACTTTTTATTGTGTTATTTTATTGCATTGCATTGAATTATCATCTGGCTGATCCCACATTTGCATATATATAAAACATGTGTTATGTTACAGTAGCTTGATAAAACCAACATATACTGTTTGGTAAACTTGGGCTAGGTTTATTTATAATTAATTTAATTTTATTATTTTATTTATCAGAAGTGATCTCTTACTCAGATTTGTTTATTTCATTTAATTGTTTTGCTGAATAAAAGTAAAAACAAAACAAAAAAAACACATTTGGAACGGTAGTTTCTGATAGAAAATGAGCTGTTTAGACTTTGCTGCTTGGAAAAAATAAGTCCTGATATGATATAATGTAGAATATAATCACAGATATAATGTATCGCTATAATAATCATAAGATATTTTTTTAATTTCAGCCCAGCACATAATCCCTCCTATCTCATATCCGTCTCTGAAGTTCTACGCTGTGGCGTTCCGACCCCTTTATCAGTCACCATTCTGGCAGATTATCCCATCAAAGTCACGGCTGAACTCGTCCATGGAAAAAGCAGTGTGGCCCAAGCAGAGAGCACCATCCCAGCAGGTAAATCACCATCATTTGACTTTTTATTGTGTTATTTTATTGCATTGCATTGAATTATCATCTGGCTGATCCCACATTTGCATATATATAAAACATGTGTTATGTTACAGTAGCTTGATAAAACCAACATATACTGTTTGGTAAACTTGGGCTAGGTTTATTTATAATTAATTTAATTTTATTATTTTATTTATCAGAAGTGATCTCTTACTCAGATTTGTTTATTTCATTTAATTGTTTAGCTTATTTAATGTTATGCTTCAGTAGGGGACAATTAATAAATAAAAAGCTGATATATGTAGAAAATCTTTTTTAAATTATTTCTAAAAAGCACCTTGCAGTTTTTTAAGTTTATAGCTTATATCATTTAACAATTATTAACATACATTCAAATGTATTAATTCAGCCCGAGATGCAATGCAATTTATTCCTAAACGCATTATTTGTCTAACACAGTGTTTAAATTTACATTCAAAATCACACTGTCAAACTGGAAAAGTTACCTTTTTTGAATGACCTATATGATATAATATACATCTCCAACCTGTTCAAACAAGTATTGATTACTTTCATGTCTGCTCTGCATTCATTTTTAAGGCTCTACCAGACTGCTGGCTCTTCCCCCTGTGAGTATTAAGACTGTCATTTCCATGAATGAATCAGTACAGAGTTGCAGGGTTTACTGTGTGTTATTTTCCCTCCGCAGGTCTTTTCCAATGACATGAGTTACTGGTATCCATATCAGCTGGATGTTAAGGGGACATTATTTGTCTAACACAGTGTTTAAATTTACATTCAAAATCACACTGTCAAACTGGAAAAGTTACCTTTTTTGAATGACCTATGTAATGACTTTGATTACTTAATTTTAACTGTAGGGAATTAATTATTATTAATTCAT